GTGCGCCCCCCCCCCCCCCCCACAAGATTATAGGCCAAGGTTTCCTTCCACATTTGAAGGGTCGGCAACCATCCTTCAAGGTGTGATTGACTTCAGATGGAAATCCCCCTGTGTATGTGTCTGAAAATAACATGTAGTAAATAAAAGTAAATCACCGGCACACATTTGAAGGGGTTTTAAAGTATTGATATGTTCACTGTCGCTCTGATGAAGGATCCCTGTGCGGACCCGAAACGTTAGCACCGTATGACGATATGTGACATTGGGTATTGAATAAACATATCAATACTTTAAAACCCCTTCAAATGTGTGCCGGTGATTTACTTTTATTTACTATTAGTGTTTTGCACGGCACCATCCGTGTGGTCACCTGGGCACCACATATATACCTTGTGGTTTTGAGACCGTGGCAGTGCGAATGGGATTTGGACTTTGTTGAAAATAACATGTGTTATTGTCCTTCACTGCAAGGGGTGCCCCCCCTCCCAAGTCACTCGGTGGTTCCCACTGCACTGACTCCACGTGCCTCCATATTACCGTTCTCCTTTTTCCAGACTTGCTGGTCCCAGGGACTGGGATCCCCCCATGAGTTCTGGGGAATTCCCTCGCAGTAATAGTGCTGGAGTCCAGGCTTTCAGACATTCCTACTGCTGGGGGGGGGGTTGGTTTCCCTCCAAAGGGGGCTTTTTTGGAGTTTCTGGCGAGGCTTCAGCTGGGTACTGATTTTCTGTGAGGCATCACAGCGGAAGTGACGTCACGAGGTACGTGGCACACTTCCAGAGCCTCCCTTCCAGTGGTCAGAGCGCATAACTGGGCGTGCGTTCCACGCTGGTTCGCACACTCAGGGATTTAAGGAGCAGGTTGAGGAGGGACATGGTGGTTCTCGCAGCTGCTGCAAAGGTTTGACCACGCTACAGGATGCTGGGACACATCGTGTTACCTGACTGGACTGGGTCCACATACAGCCAGGAGGGACGGCAGGAGTGGGCCACATGCGCGTTCAGCTGGCTGGACGCCATGCCTTGAGAAGCTGGACCACAGGCTACCTCTCCTGATCTGGGAGACTTGGGCCCTGGTGCAAAGGTAGGTGAGGTGTGTGTGTGTGTGTGTTGTTTTTTTTTTTAAAATTTTTATTATTGGGGACATTCTCTCCTACTTATCCATGCTTGCTTTAGCTGGCCAAGAGGGCAGCTCTCTACACTGTATCGGGTGTTTTTTTTTGCACTGGGTGAAGTGTACGCATAACGGCACAGGGGCTAAGAAGTACTTTTTTTTTTTTTGCACAGGTCACACATGAGGAGCCCCTTGCTCCAGCTGGTGCTTCTCGCCTGAAGGCTAGAAGATGCGCCTCTTGCAACATTAAGCTGTTGTCATCTTGGTAGAAACCCTTGTGCAAAGGATGTGTAGAGAAGCTGGTATCCAAGAATCAGTGGGAATGTTTTTAAGGGCCTTATGGATACCATGAGAGAGGAAATGATCTCTACGTTTCAGTCTTTCCGGTCCCCTAACCAGAGGGCAGGGCCTATGATGATTGATCTGAGGAAGACTGCAATGTAGATTTTCAGGAACCAAAAAGGGCCAAGTACCTGTTTCCTTCATTTTGAGACCGGAGAGTTGTTAAAGGCCATTTGGGACACCTTGGGGTTGAAGGAGGCAATGAGTGAGCTCTCTCGGTACATGATATAAAATGTACAAGGGGCTTCAGTCCAAAAAGTGCCGCACCTTTCCGGTACACAATGGCTAAAAACAGTGGACTTGTGATGCAGCCTCCAAGGGGAAGCTTTGCGCATTGCCTTTTAGGGGGATCTGCGTTTTGGGCAAGAATTGGAAACTGTGTTAGACAGATCTGCAGACCAGAAAAAGGGATTTCTCCTGCCCAAGAAACAACAACAAAATGTTTTTTTGTGGGCAAAGGGGACAAAATTTCAGGAAAGGTAAGGGGTAGGACCAGTCCAAAAGCTTGGCTTTTAAGAGAGGGAAGGGTAAGAGCGGCTTCCTCTTTAACCCCCACCCCACAACCGGGGCCCAAACCCCAGTGATGCTATGGTCAAGGTGGGCGGAAGGCTGGGCGACTTCCTCCCACGTTGGGCAGCGATGCCTGACAAATTTGTCCTGGAACTCATCAAATCGGGGGGGGGAATACAGAATAGAATTGACGGCCCCCCCCTCCAGATATTTGATCACCACATTCGCCAGGGATCCAGAGAAGGCGAGAATTATGACAGTGTCCCTTCAGGAGCTGCTGGAACAAGGGGTGATTGGTCAGGTGCAAAAGCAAGCAGGGAGGGTATTTTATCTCTTTTACAGGATGAAACAATCAGGGAAATTTTGAACCTGAAACCCTTGAGCAAGGTGGTGCTTTACAAAAAGTTCCGTATGGAATCAATCTTCTGTTTAAGGGACTTGCTACCACACGGGGCATTCTTGGCAACGATAGATCTCGGGGATGCATATTTGCACATCCCGATACGGAGATCCTCCCAGAAACTGCTGCGGTTTGCGGTCAAAGGACTGGCTGGGGTTCTCCGTTCCCAGTACAGGGCACTACCCTTTGGACTGTCGTCCGCACTAAGGATTTTTACCAAGGTGCTGGCAGAGGCCCTTGCCCCCGCGGTCGAGAGGAGTAGGGGTTGTACCGTATTTGGGCAACCTTTTTTATTTTTTTTTGCCTATTTGGAAGAAAATCTCCTTGCAGAGTGCAGAAGAAATGAACCTTTATCTAGCATGGGGAGCATCCTGCAGGTCAATCATGAGAGTTCTAGGGTTGATGACGTCAGCAATGCCGGCAGTCTTCTGGGCGCAGTTGCATTCCAGGCCCCTTCATAACTTGCTCTTAAGTCAGTGGGGAGGAGAATCTGAGTGTCTGGACAGGGAGTTGATGCGAACGGACCCTGTCAGGCTTTCTTTACTTTGGTGGAAAGACAGTCGGAACCTTGGGGGAGGAAGGTTGTGGAGTTGCATGGAACCTCTCAGGGTCACCACGGATGCCAGCGCTTGGGGGTGGGGTGCCCACCTTTGGGATCTCCTGCCAGGTGACGTGGGACCATGTCTGGCGGCACAAGTCTTCAAACATGCAGGAGTTGACGGCTGTGGGCCTCGCCCTCATGCATTTTCAACAATTAGAGGGAACACACGTGTTGGTACTGTTGGACAACACCACAACTGTGGCGTACATAAACAGGGGGCACCAGATCAAGGACCTCGATTTTTTTTTTTTTTGTGGCAGGCACAATCTTGTCCTGGGCAGAGAAATTCCTTTCCTTGAAGGCGGTTCCTCTGAAAGGAAGCCTGAACTGTTTAGCGGATTCCCTCAGCAGGAGGGAAGTGAGGAGTACGGAATGGTCACTGGACACACAAACCTTCCATTGAATAGTCAGGACTTGGGGTGTACCGGAACTGGACCTTGTTTCTACAGCGAACAATAAGGTTTACCAGTTGTTCTCCCTCACAGAGAACTATGCAAGTCCTGGGGGTGGACGCTTTTGCCCACCCTTGGACATTCCGGTTGGCGTATGCATTCCTCCCGCACTTGATTACAAAGGTTATTCGGAAACTGGAGAGGGAGTAGACTGCATTAGTGTTGATTGCCCCGTTCTGGCAGAAGAGACCTTGTTTCACGGCACTTATGGATTTGAGCAAGGACACCCCTTTGCCCCTTCCATTGAAGGCAGATCTATTGACACAGGGAGCGTGCGTCACCCGCAGGTACAACCACTGCATCTAATGGCCTGGTTACTGAGAGGGACATCTTAGTATAAGTGTCTCTCTGAAAGGGTAGTGTCCACTCTCCTTTGCAGCAGGAAGGCTTCTACGTCCGCTATCTACCACAAGGTGTGGAAGGTTTTTTCCTCTTGGCGTGTTGGGAGTCGCCACGGCTGGGAAGGTGGCACAGGTAGAGTTCTTAGAAGGATTAGATAGGAACCTTGCTTGCAGCACTCTGAAGGTACAGGTGACGGCATTAATTTTGTAGACGTCAGGCTTGCAGAGGTTCCCCTTGTGAGAAGATTCCTGAAGGCAGCAGGTAGATTGAGGCCCCCAAAACTTAAAAGGTTTCCCGCATGGAACCTGTCAGTGTTTTGACGTTTCCCCGCAATGCCTTTTAGTTGATTACTGACTGTTCCATCAGGGCACTCACTTTAAAAGTAGCGCTTCTGGTAGCTCTTGGCGGACAGGATAGTGCTATGACCGGATGCAGCCTTCTTACCAAAAGTGTCCACTAACTTTCATTGATCGCAGGACATTCATACCACTATTCTCAACTAATCCAAGGAATGACACTGAATAAAGTTGGCAAGGCATCAATTTAAGGTGATGTATGCTGGAGTATCTTTCCAAGACTAGTGAATGGAGGAAGTCAAATAACCTTTTTGTCCTATTCCAGGGTCCAAAAGATGGGTAGTAGGGCATCAAAAAGCATGATGGCTAGGTGTATTAGGGTCGCTATTTCCGAGACTTGCCAATCTCAAGGTAAGAGGTTACCTGAACATTGCACGGTGCATTCCACCGGAGCCTGGGCTACATATTGGGCGGAAAGAGCAGGGGCAACACCAGATCAAATCTGCAGAGCAGCCACCTTGTTTAGCTTCCAGACATTCGTCGGACGTTACAGAATTGATTTACTGACTCAACAGGGCCTAGTGTTTGGCAGTGATTCCCACCTTAAGTAAGTGAGCATGGTTCTCGCTAATCCTCTCATTGGCTGTCCTGGAAGCTGACTGGGGAAAACATGAGTTATCTTATTTTGCGTTCCATAAGACACACCGGACCATAGGACGCAGTGAGGTCCGGTGCGCCTTATGGAGCACTCGACAGACGGTAGCTTCTGTTACAACTTCTGTGACAGAAGCTGCAGTTAGTGACCGCTGAGACAGGTGGCGCTGTGATTACAGCGCCACAGTCTCAGTTATCACACAGAGCAGACGAAGAACGTGCGTTTTTCGTCTGCTCTATGGTGATCTCGATCGCCGCCGCTCGGTTTTAATACGAGTGATCTCATTAGATCACTCGTATTAAACGAGCTGTGGCTCCTACTGTACATTTAGCTCTGCTCTAGCAGAGCTAAATGTACAAAAAACTACCCGCCCGAAACTGCATGTCTCGGGCGTTGGGATTCGCTCCATAAGACGCAGACACACTTTCCCCCTCCTTTTCGGGGGTAAAAAGTGCGTCTTATGGAGCAAAAAATACGGTACCTGGTAACTCTGCAGGAATATTCCAGGACAGCAAGTTTCCCCCCAATGTCAATATTGAGATGATGCTTGACCCCTAGGGGTCGTGCGACATGAGCATTAGAACGACAGAAGGTTTTGAGTTGCAACTCGTGATGGCCTTCTGAGGTGGGTTTGTAGGAGTTGTTTGTTGTTTTTTTTTGTTTTTGTTTTTTAATCTAATGTGGATGATGTGTTTTCAACTCTCTCATTGGCTGTCCTGGAAGATTCCTGGAAACAGGTAACGAACTCATGTTTTCATGTCCTGTCATTTCTTTATATACATCTATACATTTGACATCAGTGACCTAGAGACTTCTGCTAGGACCACATTATATCCACTATTTCAGTTTTGGTTATCCCAAGACAAAAATTTTTTTTTTTTTTTTTTTTTTTTTTATCTGAAAGCAAATGGGTATTGTTGCTGGTTAGCATCTAGAATGTTTGTGTATTCAAATCTATTTGCCGCTTAGTATTGCCTGGTTTCTGATTGTCAACTTGTGATTAACTTTTATTATTATTATTTTTACTTTTTTTTAATCTCTTTTTTTAGAACACTTACAAGAACAGTACACCTGCAATGGAACTAAAGGATTTTCTGCAACCTCCTGCACCCCCACTTCAACCTTGCACAAATATCTTCCCACTTTCCAAAATTCAACCTCCTTCTATAAAGCAAATCCAGCTTCAAACAGGCCCCAAAGTAAGCTGCTGTGCACTTTGTTCTAATGGCACGTCTTGCACCCCTGACAACTGGAGGGGGAGTAGGTGCATTTGGCCTACTCCTATCCTGGAGAAAAATGCTGTTGGCACAATTACTTGCCAGATAGCCTCAGGGCTACCCTTTGGTCCTAATAGCCCCTTCAAGAAAGCTTCTGCTACAGGCAGCTGCAGCAGCTGTCCACCCAGCTGTTCGAATGTGTGTATGGAAAAGCGTCTGTCTCCCTGCCAGTTTCACCCATCTCACACAGTTCCCTGCTTCACCAGTGTCCATTTGAATCCGCTTCACAATGATCTTCATAAAGTCTCCACTCTTGGCACTTCTCCTGGATGCTACCCTTGCTCAGACTTCACCAATGGGGCTACACAACATTTAAAGGAATATCATGCACAGTCTGAAATCTTATCACGTTTTTGCACTGGTTCTCTTCATCTAAGCTCTGCACCGTCTGTGTTTCTCAAAGGTTCTTCTTTCTGTGAAGCTTGTTTGGAAAAGGTTTGTTCATTCTTTTTCTTTAATCACCACAATTTTTCACTTTTTTTTTTTTTTAACTTACTATGATCTTTTAATGCTTGAGGTTTGTACCACCTAGGGGTGTTTTTTTTTTCTTCAATCTTTTCTACCATCTGTAAATCTTGTTCTGACTGTCCTATAAATACACATGCTTCTGGAAAGTCTAATATCTGATTAGCGTGTTTAATGGCTTAACATTACACCATAAAGGCAACAAAAAGGGGAATGAATGGTCAGGGGATGGATTACCTGGAGTACAGTGAAATCATTCATCTTATGGTTATAAAAGAATACAGGAAGTAAAATGGTAATTGGGTTTCCCCCTTGGTTGCAGGTTGACATTTAGATGGTCAGAATAATAGAGAAAAAGCATTGTTAATTGTTTACATATTATACATTTTGTGTCAGCAGAAAGGAAATGTTTGAAAATGTATTATAGGCACAAATAGCTGGTCTCCACACTAGCTGAAGCGATTACCCTCTTGTAATATTGCCAGTTTTTCACGTTCTGGAATGCTAGCCTATTAGTATCAAATTGTACCTTTTACTGGTACTTAGTGTCTTTAAAAATGCAATTGAATCTTAAAAATGCAATCAAGTACCCTTTTAACCTCCTTGCAGTCCGCCCATTGTAAATACGCGGGAGGACGGCAACCTCTTTCCAGCGGCTGCATGTACGGTACTTAATTTTTTTTATCGCTTGTATGCCAACAAACAGTGTGTCTCCCCCATCCCACCCACTGCTGCTGGTTATCCCAGGCTTGACTGTCTTCCGCCTTTTAGCTGTCATTTCCTTGTCAGCTGTCTTAGAGGACCTGTCATTGTATCATCACATAGGGGGATTATTAGCCCCCTATGTGATGGCAATAAGGTTGAGTGTAAAAAAAAAGTTGCATAGTAAACGTGAAGAGGTGCGGGGGCGATGTACATATGTGTGCATTGTCAGGGGTCACAGGGCTGTTTTTCATACTTCAACCCCTTCGTGGCGGGAGATGTACACTACGTGACGAGTTATTTGCGGCTCTGTATAGCTGTTAACTGCTGATTCTCAGCGGTTATCGGTCATTAATAAATGCCTCCGTATTGAGGCATTCAATAATTCAATAATTCAATAATTAAATAGTTAAAGGAGAACTATAGGGAAAAGCCCTAACCCCATAGTTCTCCTTTACTAACGGGAGGACACAAACTAGCTTCGGCTGCGGTATACTGAGGCGCCGCAGCCGAAACGGTGCCTATAAAGTGACAGTGCCTATCTAGAGGCAGAGCCAACTGTACCTGCCCCCTCCCCCATCCTTTCTGCCAGTCGGCGCTGGATGATTGGAGCGGGAATCCAGTCCCTCCTCTCACGGCTCTCTGCCGTGGCAGAACTACAGCGTGTGCAGCCGATGCTCCGAGGCCTCAGCCTGGGGGGGGCCCAGCACAGTCCCTGCGCATAGATGGTGGGACTTGCTGGCCACCGGATCGGTATAGGGGGAGAGGTGCAGGGTGGACCGTGGTGATGGGAGAGTCCAGGGGGCATATGAAGATAGTGGAAAGAACAGAGGGCATGAGGGAGATGGGGGAGAAAACGGGCATATCTCCTAAACCTACAGGGGTAGGTTATCATTAAAATTTAGAGGTGCCCCGAAATGGAAATTTTAAAACTGAAACGAAACCAAAATTGAAGTCAGGCCGAAACCGATACCGAAAATGTTTTATTTTATTTTTTTTATAGACTTTTTCGTTTTTTTAAAAATATTTGTATTTTTTTTATTAAATATTTTTACTTTTTAGGGGCTTCGGGGAAATTTATACGGGTCTAAACAGACCCCTGATATTTCCCTTTTAAAAAAGAAATAGAGGACTTTGTTCTCAATCTCTTTTTCTGTGTCCCCTGTTATCAATGAACAGGAATCCCCTCATTGATACGGTCCGGGGAGAGTGCAGAGTGACCAGGAGATTTATTTTACCAGTGACTACAGTTGGAGGATTTTTGTAAGCGGTTGCTAAGGAAATCCTTTTTTTTCTCCATTATACTCCAGTAAATCGATTTTGTTTAGCAATCAACAATCCTTTAACTGTGCTCACAGGTAAAAAAATAAATAAAAAAATCTCCCAGTCACTCTGCACTGCCCAGGGGGGGTTTTCCACCCCCTACACTGTACACAGAAGTCTGGCAGCCATTTATAAAAAAATTAATGTGATGAGAACTAAAAAAAGTGTACGTTTTGAGTGTTTATATCCAGGATCTGCATATGCCGCCATTATCTACACACTGTACATTGCTGGCATGGTTTTTCTAAAAATGTCCCGCAAAGGTGGAAGTTAAAAATGGCCAAGACAGGAAGGGGGTTTAAGGAAGAGGGTCAATAAGTGTTTAAGCTACATCTTTGTTAATGGGTATTTGTGCATCTCTCCGCTTTACATCCACAAATCATCTCTGAATTGGCACTGACACTATGTCCTTCCTTATGGCCACCACTCCAAGCTCACTCCCTTGATGGACTACAATCTCAATACAAATTATTAAACTGAACGTGAGATTGTAGTCTTATCATGGGAGTGAGCTTGGAGTGGTGTACTTTGCAGCACACACAGGGACCATGGGGAACAAAGGTAGCCACCCTCCACAGCAAACATTAGTCACCTTACCAAGGCCTCCTTCACCTCTAGGGCTGTAAACAACTATTATTTTCATAATTAGGGATGCACCAATAACAGTTTTTCGGTATCGAGTACCAAGGGAGCATGGGGCTGGCTTTCTGGCCACTCAGGAAGCTGGGGGGGAGGGAGGAGGAGAACGAGTAATGACTAGAAGTTCTGGTATTGAATACCTATCGTGAGCATTTGGGCGAGTAAAGAGTACACGCCTAAATACTCTCGGCACTGATAGTTGTTCGTTTTTTTGTTTTTTTTAACTTCAGAATAAAACTGCGGGCACAATTTTTTTTGCAGTGGAACGCACTGCATTGTGGTGCCGCGCGATCCAGTGCTGGTCGCACTGCAGGCAGGAAGCAAGTTTGGGGTGCCATTTGAAATGAATGCTTTGATGTGTCAGTGTAATTGTGAAGACACACGGATTATTAGCATGCACAAGGGTGGCTCCATAGAATCCTGCAAGGAAAAGGAGCCACTCTAAAACAGGGTAACAAGGCCAGTGCTCAGGGGACCAGCTGATTTCTGCAGCAATCTAAAACTTTTAAGCAGAGTAGTAGCGTCCATGGTAAGCGATTTTAGTCAGCATTTGAAATGGCTTAAAACCTTTTGACTTTAATATCCCTTTAAGAATATGTAAAAGGTGCAGAACCATTTTTTTCCCCTTTATCTGCTATGCACATCTCTACTGTACGTCCTATGATTTGAGATAGTAGCGGTTATTCCCTTTCATTTCTGCTTTGCATCAGCAAAGATTAAGGATTAATAGAGAACTATGGGGGGCAACCTTTTTATCTGAGCTCTTTAGGGTCATGGGAGGACATATACTAATGTCCTCCCATAACCCAAAGCTCCGCATATATATTGAGCTGCAGTAAGCTGTATACTGAGAGCACCGCAGCCAGGATGGATCCCAACAATACTGTCCAGATCCAGCTAGCTGATGACAGCAGGCTCTCACTATCTAGAGGCAGAGCCAGCTGTGCCCACGCCCTCATCTGTTCCTCCAGGGGGGGGTGTCCCCTGTGGGGAGCGGCGACTCTTGGTCGAAACTCTCTGCAGGCAGGCGATTGGAAAGTGAGCGAGCAACAATATTTTTTGCTCTGATCTATAGAATCGACATGTCAGTTTCATTGTCAAACGTCGGCTCTATGAGTTTAAGTAAAAATCACTCTCCTCCATAGTTCTCCTTTTTTTAAGGTGTCATTTTGGTCTAAGGATGAAAATAAGGAAGATGCACTCACCTGATCCTCACTTCTGCGGCAGTAACCACTCACCTCTTTCCCCCTCCGCTCCGGTTATAGCATGTCCCTCCTTGTCCTTACATCCAGTGGACTTGCATTAGATGTGATTTCACGGGTTCTCAGACCACTGGCGTCTGGGTGAAAAGAGGCTGCGGGGACAAATCTAGCAGCCAAGCGGGACAAAGAATCGGGTAAGTGTATCTTAATTTTTCTCCTAGACCAAAACTTTTTTTCTTTTTTAAAGCGTATTTAAACCCAAAATAAAATGTTATATTATAGATTGCCAGTCATTGGATGTGGTGACTGCAAGATCCGAAGGTATTTTCTTTTCTGTGCTTTTGAGGGACACGCACCGTCTTTCACCTTTTGGGGGATATACTTTGGCCTATAGGAGGTCTGAACACTAGGAAAAACAACTGTAGGCTATCTCAAGATGACCCTTTCTGCCTTAATTTGCCAAACCAAGGCAGACTGTTCAAAATCTCTTACAGATCCCTCTGCTGTGGACAATCCACTGATAGAGTGGAGCAGATGGCTGGAGCTTTATACTTCAGTTGTGATAGCCTGCAGGAGGCATATCTGCTTGTCTCCCGCATTGGTCTTTTCTTGATCTACATACACAGAGCACTTTGGTTAAAGTGGTGGTCTGTAGACCGTGCACCTGATCAGCATGGTCTTGGAAGGACAAAGTCTCTTCAGACTGATCCTTGACGTCGTTATCAAGGGTGTCACTGGAGGCAAGATCAACCACCTCCCTACCACCCACCTGCAAGGAAAAGGTTTGCCAAGTCTCCCTTTGTGTTTATTTACTCTTGGAGTATGCATGTCTAGACCTCCCAAACTTGGTTCTCTGGCTACCTGCAAGGTCTGGGGGTAAGAAGCCTGCTAAACCCTTGGAGGGCCTTCGTTGGCATGAAGGTGTGCCTCTGCTTTCCAAAGTGGCAGAGAACATCTGCCTGTTTTGGTGCTGTAAGAATAAAAGGTTTTGCATGCTTTCCACCAGATCTACCATTCCCTCCCTTTGCCACACTCTCTCCAGTCTCTGTGGTCAGCTAGGATGTGCACCTACAGATCACTGTCCTTCCAGTTCTCTGACTTTTCAGCCTTGCCCCTGCACCCTCAGTGTTCTTGAGGATTCTGGCCCTGTATTGGCTCTAGTGAATTCTTATGGCATCCCCATTTTGGGACACTTAAGCGACCTCCTGTGAAGAAAACAGTCGGCTTGGGCTCTGTTGGACAATGTGTATAATTATCCAGATGTCTCAAGGATTCGGCTGGATACTTAATATTAAAAAATGGACTCTTTAATCTTCTTTAAAGCCTGCAGGCAGCTTAGACCAGAATGTTTTGCTTCTTCTGCTGATGAATCTTCAGGGTACTTGCTCTTATGTCCTTGTGAATCAGTCTGGTCTGTTGCAACAGGGTTGTGTCTCTGGGTAACAGGTCATCCCCTTTCACCAGTATTTTCCCAGACTGTCCAGTTCTTCACTCTGTTTTTTTGGGAAAAGTTGATTCAGTTTCTGAGTATACTGATGATCCTGTGGAACAGTCTTCAAGCTTTGGAATTGGAAGCTTTTAAGTGCGTGCTGAACAGATATGTCTTAAGATTTTTGCGGTAGCAGGGAATGTTCTGGTACAGTGGTTCTCAACCTGTGGGTCGCGACCCCCTCGGGGGTCGTATCACGATTTGCCAGGGGTGGCCCGGGAGTCTCCCACTATTAGATAGCGGCTACTGGCTGCCTGGGAAAGAAACACTTTCTCCCGGAAAGTGTAAAGCAGAGTAAACCTTTCCCTGCGATCGTGTTTTTTTTTTTTCCTGACCTCGGCGGTCGCTGGCCACCGTAAGTCAGAAAAAAACCCACCATAGGAATGATAGCTAGATTCCTCCATAGCTAGATTCCTATTGGCTAATTCACTTTGCAATGGCAAACTAGATATTGCACCCGCCCTCTGCTGCTGCCAATCAGCAGAGGGGGACATGCAGTTCTCCATCACGTCCTCCTCTAGTGATGGACAGCAGCAGAGGGCGGGAGCAATAGCTAGTTTGCTATTGCAAAGGGAAATGGCCAATAGAAAGCTAGCTATGCATTCCTATTGTTGTTGTTTTTTTTTTTTGTTTTTTTTTTCATTCTGACGGCGTACGCCAGTGGTACTCAACCTGTGGGTCGCTGTTGGATTTCTGCTGTGCTAGGTGAGAGTCCTCTTCAGCCCTCTCCTAGCGCAGCAGTGTCAGTTCTCCCGCCACGTCGCCAGATGTTGCTGCAGCAGCCGCATCATCCCTAATTTTTACTGTTGGGGGTCACCATAACTTAATGGCAAATGTTACCAAGGGGTCCCGGCCCTAGAAAGGTTGAGAACCACTGTTCGGTGGAATCTATACACACGGATCTAGGTCTTTTCTCCTCTAATGCTTCTCCTCATCTGCTTTGTAGACTCGAGATGGCATTTTGGCATGCTTCCTTGCTCTGGATTTATTTATGTAGCACCAACAATTTTACAAACTGCACGTTCAGATCAGTCTCTACCCTTGAGGAGCTTACAATCTGAGGTCCCTATTTCACCCGCATGCAGGGGAAATTAGGATGGGAGCCAATAACTTCAAACTTAAGCCAGTGACACACTGTATGTGAAGCCATGCAGAGCCAAGCCAAGATGTCGGGCACAGAGCTTCACATGCAGTGTGTGAGCTAAGTGCAGCCAGATGAAAGACTGCATCTTCAGTCAGTTGCGCTTAACAACCGGATGCACTTTGTATCGAGATGTGCGAGCCGATTGGCTGAAGTTGACATTTTTCATCTTTGCATGCTCAGTTATGCGAGCTCTTGCAAGCTGACGTGCCGGAAAGAAAATTACGTAACACTGCACGCGAAGGCAGCACGCCACCACTTGCATGCAGTGGGTCACAGCTTTAACAGCATGTCTTTGGAGTGTGGAAGGAAACTGGAGAAAACGCACGCAAGCACAGGGAGAACACGCAAACTTGCAAATAGTGTCATGACCCAGTGCTGCAAGGCAGAATTGCCTACCACTAAGCCACTGTGCTGCCCAGACCCTGGTTGGACAAATGTCGCCAACTTGGTAAAACTCCTGTTGCTTTGTGGACTCCTCCCTGGATTTGGGGGATCAGGTGCATCTCTAAATCTGTGACTTATGATGCCTGAGGATTGGTTGGATATTCCAGTGAGGTTTATCATGAGGCTTTGCCTCAGGTGCAAATGGCTATTTTCCAATCATTGCAGCTATGTGAGACTTCACTATCAAGTCTGCATTCTTCCTTACGATTTGTATCCTTTTTTCTGTGGATCAGGTAGACCAGATTCCAAGCTTATGGATTGGGTTTTCTTCTTTCCTGTCAAGACATACTTGACTGATTTTTATGTGAGTGTTTGCTGATCATCTGGCAACAGGCATTGTGTGTGTGTGTGTGTGTGTGTGTCCAATTCTCCTGTAGGTGTCAGTATAAGGTGAAAGACCACGTGTTCCTCCAATAGAATACAAAACATTTTTTTATGGTGAGTATAAAAATGTATCTACAGAAATAAACGGATAGTCACCACATTTTTGGATTGCTAAGCTGTAAACTATAACATTTTTGTTCTTAGATTTAGCTACTGTCGGCTCCTTGTGCCCATACATGTATTTGGTCAGTAGCTCCATCTAAATTTGCTCACCTAGAGAATCTTTTGTATATTTGTGCTGCGTTAAAGAAATGCCTTCAACCCTAAATAATTATTTTGAACAAAATCTGCTTTTTCTTTTAATTTCTTATTTTGTATCGCTTCGTGCAGCCCCCTAACAGCGTAATTGATGGAAACAAAATGTGGCCTAATATTCCACCTCCGAGCACCCAGACTGCTACTCTACCCTTGTGTAATGGCTGTGGGACACAGGGAAACATGAAGGATACGGCTATCTTGCTCGCTAAGAATTTCTGCAAAGCATCACAAAATTGTGGTATGCCTCATTTTTTTTAAGGTTGTTGTTGGTTTTTTTTTTTCCGTGAATTATCTGAACCTTTGAAAATGTTTTTTGGTTTACTCAAGTAACTGTTTTTTGTAGGAGTCCCTGAAATATCTACTGTGCAGGAAAATCTGCCCCCTATTGGTGTGTTTTGGGATATAGAAAACTGCTCTGTTCCTAGCAGTCGCTCTGCTGTAACTGTCGTGAAGAGGATTCGCGAACGTTTTTTCAAAGGTCACAGAGAGGCGGAATTCATCTGTGTATGTGACATCAGTAAAGAAAACAAGGAAGTAATTGAGGAACTAAATAACTGTCAGGTAATACATTTTATAACTGTATGTGGAAGTTTCACCTGCTAGTTATCTCTTGGAACTGCAGTGGTAAAAGCTCTCTTTCAGGTGAAAATGGTGACTGCTCCGGAGCCAATATGACTTTCCCTGCTTTTTGTTGTACTGGCTCCCATTGTATTGACTAAGAAATAAAACTCAAATTTCATTATTCAAAGTGAGACCTTGTAATTACTGTAAAGAGAGGAATATTTCTCTATTTTCTGCAAGAAATAAGATTTTTAGGTGGGCAGTTCATTTTTCTACAGCCTGTTTCTGTTGCTTAAAGTGACATTAAACCCTCAAATTTTTTTAACATAAAATAATACTGTAATGTATGCCTTACTGTAATCCATGGTTGTTTCCCTTCTCTTTGCAACCCTTTCCAAGCCCTCGAACATTTTTCAAATCAGCTGGCCAAGCCATTTTTGCATTTTTTTCCTATTGACTGTATTCTCATGCTTGGGGAGAACTTCCCTTTGCAGCTTACCGCCTCTTCCTGTAGTGCTGGCTCAGGTTACAAACCTATACACAGACACCATGTATCCATTCCAGAGACAAGGCAGTCTGCTGCAAAACAGAAATTCTGCCCAGCATGAGAACAGATACAGATTTAAAAGGAAGAGCAGCAAAGAGAAGGGAAACAGCCATGGATTACAGTAAGGCACACATTACAGTATTGTTTTATGTTAAAATAATCTGAGGGTTTATTGTCACTTTAAATGCAAGAAAAAAAGGGTATTTCCACAGTGGGGTGTGCGAGGACCCAGAGGGGAAAAGAAAAAAAGGGGGCTTTTAAGAAAGTCCAGACCTCGTGTATAAAAGTCTTAGAAGTTCATTTATTCAATAAATCGTTGTATACATTATTTAAGATAAAAAACGGAATACAAAATCATCAATAAAAATGCTTTTACAAATGCAGGTTCACCGAATGGTGACAATACCGTGCAGTTACGATGTATATGGTTGTTTGTTATCAGAATGGTATAAACTCTCCTGTAAGTCCCTACATGTTTTGCCCCGAAAGGGCTTCTTCAGGGGAGAGAGACAATTCTTTGGGAGATATGAGTAATAAGCCCACATATAATAGAATTGGGATCAGAGAACTGCACTTTAGTCTCACATGTAAAATCATGCTTTACATACATTAATCTCGATCACAATAAATGTAAAAGTATTGTAAATGTTGAATGCTTACATATATGTGTCTTCACCGTCAGTTAGTCAGGGAAGCGAGAATATAGTGGAAAAACTGCTTCAAATACAAACAAGGGATTGGTTTTGTCAAGCATGAACCGCCACAGGTAAACACAAATGGAGGGATCGCGTCGGAGACAGCACCCTGTAGTCTTCAGGAAAAACAGGCAGCCGGCATACTAGACTTAGAGGTAGTGAAGTTCTGCTAAAGGAACATGTGTATGGTAATTAATTATTCCATGTGAAAGTATATATGGATAAAAATAGATGAAAAATAGATATAAATATAAAAATAACAGACGGGAGAGGAGGACACATTGAAGGGAGATAGTTTCTCTCTTTCTTCATGTAGTGGCCTGGTGATGCAGAGCATTCTAATGTGGAAAGTGTGTTGGTGATGGGGATATTAAAAGGTGAAGATGGGTTGAGAGCAAATGTGCAGGTGTAAAATGCTCATTAGCTAGCTAGCCCAGCTAGGTGGGATAGTGATGATGGGGACTCAGGGAAAAAGCTCATGAATATGTGCCTAGTGAAACACCGGCAGAGGGTAGCGAGGTGAGAAGTAAATAGTGAAGAATATGGGTCATGAATCAAGGACACAGTGATGATCAAATAGTCATAAATGAAGATCATAAAAGGTGATAAAAAATTATAGTGAAAAAAAAAATAAAAAATATATATGTGAATGTATGAAAATATATAAGTGTATATTAAGCTGATACTGTGAGTGAAGCATGCTGAATAGAAGATCAAAAAGTATACTAAACCCGAATCAGGACATATACATAAGAAAAAGTGAGATACAAATAGGTGAATGAACTCATATATGAATGTGAAAAAAAATAATTGGCTTTAAAAAGCCAAAATTTGTGTTTAAGGGGAGGTTGGATGTTGCAGATCACTAGGGACATAAAATAATCAGAGATTCCAAGTTTGAGAAGGTGTAATCAGACAGAAATTTACAATGTAACAACTCCTATAGGAGCCAAAACAAAAATACCTCTTGCCGTGTGTGGTGTTGCTGTTTCTTTCCCAGACATCCTGTATAGCTGGCCGCAATCGCGGTCATTTTAAGTGCTGGGCTCCGAACGTCATGTGATGCCGAACCGCCCCTCAGGGCGGGGGCTAATCAACTAGACATGAGACGTAGAAAGGGAAACAAGCCATAAAGTATAGTAATTGCTAGCAGTTGGTATAGTCTCAATCTTCCAAACAAAGTACATATATATGCAGCAGAGAAGAGAGCCAACAGGCCACATATATGTATATATGTATACCCAAATTAAAATGCTGAGCAGCTAGGCCTTTGCTACGTCTCCACGATCCCTCCATATAGAAGTGCGACTATGGCAGTATCAGGCCCGACAGACATCCCAGGTTGTAAAAATGCATATTGAAGCTAGTAATCAATGAATGTTTAATAATAATATAATCATCAGAGTAAAGGACATTTATACTACATATCGTTTTTAAGAAAAGACAATAGATATATACATTGTATCAACTTGTATCTCAAAATTCTACAATTAGATATGTAAGATCGGAAAAGTGAATGCGGATATATATAAGAATTTTTTAAAATCTATATGTACATACATGAATCATAATAGTTTCAAAGAATTCTACTAGCATGTGTATTGCTTATAGCGTCAAAACATAAGAGGTAGTAGTGCGGATAGAAATACATATATACCATTACATTATTTCATTATTATATTATTATTATTATATTATTTCTTTATTATTATTATATTTGATTTTATTTTAATTTTAGATAGATCTGAAGAGCTGTATTAACAGCTCTTCAGTATTAACAGTCTATCTATACATCTCTATGTTTGCACTAACAACATAAGATCAAAGCAGTTGTAGCAAGAGAATTTTTTCGCCCTTTCGGGGCGAAACATGTAGGGACTTACAGGAGCGTTTATACCATTCTGATAAACAACCATATACATCGTAACTGCACGGTATTGTCACCATTCGGTGAACCTGCATTTGTAAAAGCATTTTTATTGATGATTTTGTATTCCGTTTTTTATCTTAAATAATGTATACAACGATTTATTGAATAAATGTACTTCTAAGATTTTTATACACGAGGTCTGGACTTGTTTCTTAAAAGCCCCCTTTTTTTCTTTTCCCCTCTGGGTCCTCGCACACCCCACTGTGGAAATACCCTTTTTTTTTTTTCTTGCATTTGAAACCTGGAGTGTGAAACTTCCAGCTCCTCTATATGTCTTCTGCAACGCATGTCTACTAATATTATCCCTTAATGTCACTTTAAGTCAAGATATTTGCTATACCATGGAGGTTTTTTGTACCTTCAGTCAAGACCTCAAATATGCTGCTCGAGTTGGTCTCTTTTATAGCAGCTATCCAGATGTGTATCCTCAGCTGTAGCTTTGGTGTCCATACCTGAACCATGCTGAACTGTAGATTGCAGGGCTAGCCTGGAATATTATCCTGAGCATTGTGCTCGGCTAGTGGTGTTTTGCAGACCTTCGTGTACTGTGTTTAGCTGGAGAGCACTCAAAGTCCAGAACCATGCGCTGCCCCTGGTTTGACCTAGTCTCTCAATACACACTTCTAAGTGAGCCTATGGTTGGGGCTAGGGATACACCAATACTGGTCTCTCTCTGTCTCTCTCTGTCTCTCTCTGTCTCTCTCTGTCTCTCTCTGTCTCTGTCTCTCTCTGTCTCTCTCTGTCTCTCTCTGTCTCTCTCTGTCTCTCTCTGTCTCTGTCTCTGTCTCTGTCTGTCTCTGTTTCTCTCTCTGTTTGTCTCTCTGTTTGTCTCTCTGTTTGTCTCTCTGTTTGTCTCTCTGTCTGTCTCTCTGTCTCTCTGTCTCTCTGTCTCTCTGTTTGTCTCTCTGTCTCTCTGTCTCTCATCCCCCCCCCAGATGTCCGGAACTAAGGGTTAAAACAAGGTATAACCCACTCCATAAAAACCCCTCCTCCTGCCGACTTCCCCAGTCTGGTAGCAAAGCTAATAACTCCCTAGTGTGGGAGCCCAGCGCTGCTATGGAATGTAACCAGGAAAATAAAATGACGGTGAGTATGATTACATTTTCCCTTTTCCTGGCCTTATACATCCCTTAGACCAGGGCTCAAAATTTCCACTCGCCCCCTCGCAATTGGCGAGTGAAAATTGCGTGGGGGCGAGTACAAATGGGAATAGAACCCGCTGGAACTGTTGTGTCTCGGTTACAGCACTTATGACATCTTGGGATAGAAGGGAACCTTCAAAGTCCTATATTGCCTGCTTCACCAAATCCTTCGGTAGTTTGGTCACTATGAACCTGCCTCTGGGGGGAACTCCAACTTGTATTCCTCGGTGATTACCTACAGTACCCATGCGTCTTGATATTGAATTTGCCCAGAGATCTGAGAATAGCACCTACCCTCACATCTCTGGACTCGAAACCTTCATAAGGCCTTCTCTTGCTTGATATTTCTTGGATTCCTGCCTCTTCCATTTTTGGAAGGACCAAAACCTCCTCTCCATGCTTGTGATCGAGTAGATTTTCTTCCCGGTTTGTAGGATCTAGAGTCACGAAAAGTAGTATTACGATTGGTGAGGTCTCCATCTCTATAACCTCTTCTATTTCTCCTTTCTTGTGTTAACATGGCTTTTTTGCTATCTTTTTTGCTAGATTTTTTTTTTTATATAGCTATCCAATTCCAGGCCAAATAGCGTGTCGCCCTGGAATGCCAAGGAACACAGGCTGGTCTTTGAAGAAGAGTCGGCACCCCATGATCTGAGTCATAGCACTCTACAAGCTACTACCAAGGATACCATATCCCTCGCCAAGGATTGAAGCAGATCATCTGCGCCTTCTGTAGAGAATTCCGCTGCCAGCTTATCCCTTTTGCTGCCAAGGACTTACGGCATACGGAGGTACAAAAGTGCTCCCGGCTGGCCAGCTCAGTATGCCGTACACGATCCCTCTGTTTACAGCAAACATCGGAGTGATTGTCTGATCACTCCGGTGTTTCTAAATAACTGGGGACACATAGAACAGTAAAAAAAAACAAATAAAAAAATTATAAAAAAATAGAAAATATAAAAAAAATTAAACATGTTAAAAATAAAAATGTGTAGAAAAAAAGCACAACCCCTCCTTCCCCCCACATAACATATTGAGGTGTACGCCATGCATATGCGCTGCAGTGCGTTGTTAGAATGCATCGCAGTGCATTATTTTTTTAATGTGTTTTTTTTCTTTTAAAAAAAAATTAAATTAACTGTGGCAGCACATGGCAAAGCTTTGTGACGCATTGCCATGCGTTGTGATCTTTGTGTTGCAATAAATATACGCCTGTATCATTTTATCACAACACAAACACCAACACAGCGTGACATTTTTTTTTAACATAAGTTGCTTATTTACAGTTTTGCGTACAGTAATTTTTTTACCTTTTCGCAAAAAGGCGCAATTTCAAATTTGCAAATATCTGTTATTCAACTCTATTCAGTTCTATCGTTTAGATTTAGTCAGAAAACGTTTTTTTTTTGTGCGGTGATACTGATTTTAGTGTGATTTTATCAATTGGATTGTGGTATTTTTATCGGTTTAATAATTTGAGAAACATTTGCGCAATTATTGCAGGTGCCTACAAATTTAGTATCCCCATCTATTTATTTTACCGGGCCTGCGCTTTCAGAAAATATATGGTTTGGTGGGACTTTTACAAACGTTAGCAACGCAGCAGTTGAAAATCAAATCAATGGGAAAAGTTGCCGGCATCTGGAGCCTCTCATCCCTACCTGGAGCCACTCCAGGCAGGGATCTGTGACTCTATGGATCCCCGCTGCTGTTCCCCGCTTGTAGGGGCTGTGGCAACAGGGATAAAAAAAAAAATCTCCACGGTTGGGGAGTGGGGCGGAGGAGCAGCGTCGGCTGGCGGGGAGAATCCACAAATTTCAGGATGGCTGAGCGGTGAGGAGAACGGAGCCGCTGTCGTCATCATGCCAGTTTCCGGATGACAGCGGCTCTGTGCTTGGCCGTACGGATGATCGATAAGTATAACTGATATTTACCGATCCTCTGTGCAGCACAAACACCGGAGTGATCATGTGATCACTCCAGTGTTTGTAAATAACTGGGGACACATAGGGAGTTATTCACAAAGCTGCCGAATGCAGCCGTGTGAATAACCAACCAGAAGTGAAGTGAGCCGAACGCCGTTCGGCTATTCACTTCAGGCTTGTACAGCTGATTTCAGCCGTACACTGACTGAAATCAGCCGTACAGCGGTTTGCTGCGGCTGGTTTCGGGTCGGCAGAAGTGCAGAAGGAGTTTGACTCAGCTAATCCAACATCTGGATCGGCTTAGATGAAACTCCGGCAGGCTACTCGTTGCTGTTCGGCCTATTCTCATAGGAGCCAAACAGCAGTGAGTGAATAGCCGAATGCCGCCGAGCGCCATTCGGCTCAGCTATTCTGCTCGTTATCTCTGTGGTACCAAGCAGAATAGAAAAAGGAGAAAATGATTGGGCGGAGCTAGCAGTGACAGCAAGCGCCGCCCAACTGTTTTGTATTGGACGGGACCAGCTGTCATTACAATGAGAGCTTGTCTGAGCCGGCGGTCATATTAAAGCCGGCTCCGACAAGCTCTCATGACAGTCCAGCGTCCCCTGGTTACTAGGTAACCAGGAGATGCTGAACTGTCATTACACACTTGAGAACCCGACCAAGCCGCCGTGATATCATGGCAGCATCGCCGGGTTCTCAGTGTGCAATGGCAGTCCAGCTTCCCCTAGTTAATGGGTAACCAGGAGATGCTGAACTGTCATTACACACTGAGAACTCGGCGAAGCCGCCGTGATATCACAGCAGCTCCGCCGGGTTCTCAGTGTAATGACACGTCAGCGTCCGTGGTTAGCTGCTAACCAGGGGGCACTGATCTGTCTCTACATGCAAGTGGCCAGAGCCAACCGTGAGATGACGGCTGGCTCCGCCAAGCTGTCAGTAGCAGCTTGTCGACCGGCCGTTCCAGCTTGGGCTTTCACCTCGGCTCAGTCGAGCTGAAGCATATGCCTTCGGCTTGACTGAGCAGCTCGGCCAACTTCGGGAGCTGTACGGGCTGTACAAGTGCACTTCTCCTTCCCTTTTCTTTTTTTTTTTCTTGCTTTTTTCTTACCTCATCTCTACAGAACCAGACCTGTGTGGTGAGGGACAGATATCCATGATATCCAGTTTTCCTCTAGGTTTCCAATGTGTCCACAAAAGGGAACAATCCAGTAGCACAAACTGTCTTAGTCTCCTTTGCTTCCCTTTTTTAAATGGTGTAATTCAAATCTTGCGCCAAAAAACTCAAGCTTCATGACGTCACAGCCGAAGAAACTTCCGTGCAGACGCGGCTGAAGCCGCAACTGCCCACACTGTTCTGCCCACACTCTTCTGCCCATAGATCCCGACGCCAGAACGATCTTCAGCGAAGACAACCGGCAGAGGCGGATGGGACACTGCTCCACTATAGCAGGCAAGTGAAAAGCACTTAACGACGGCTATCCTGGCTGAACACCACTAAGCCCAGCTCCCCTGCTACCTCTGCATTTCCGTGGGCACTACACTGGCCCTAACCAATATGATTATCCCCTAAGGGGACACCCTTCCACGGGGGCTTAATCTTGTGGACTTCCAAGGGGAGAGAGGCTGAACTCCCCTGAGGCAAGAAATCATTTCAAAATGGAAAATAATAAACGTTACTGATATACATTTACACTGTCCTAGGGGGGACAGGAACAAAATAAATTGGAGAAGTTGGCAGGAGGAGGGGCTTTTATGGAGTGGGTTATGCCTTGTTTTAACACTTTTTTTTTTTTAGTTCCGGTCATCTAGGGGGTAATTGGACCTAACCCATTTGTGTGAGTGTGACACATCTCTGCATAACAGCTGTAATCACATATTTTATATATTTTTTTTTTTTGTTTTATAATCCAAGCTTAATCTCATTTTAAACAGGTAACAGTTGCCCATATAAATGCTACAGCAAAGAATGCTGCAGATGATAAACTCAGACAGAGTTTAAGGAGGTTCGCAGATACCCACACTTCTCCAGCAACTGTGGTTTTGGTGTCTAGTAAGTAATTCCTTTTTATTAACTGCATGTTCTGCTACTATGCATCTGTTGGACCATATAGTTTCTTATACTATTTGCTTTGTTTTTATTTCTGTCCTACATGTGAATTTCTTAAAAGGCTGGTACTGTATGTGTTCTGGTTGGTATGAAGGAAGGTTTCAGCCTTCTGGTCGGGGTGCCAGTTAATGTCTTGGAGTAAGAGAGACACGTCTGACTGATTTGGATATTTTGTGAAACATGTATAATAATGGGCTACTGTGATAAAGGACACTTGTTAGGGATCTCCCGATACCACTTTTTCAGGTACGAGTACTTGCTGATACCAATTACCGATACTTTTTCTTAAAGGGACAGGCTACATTTTTTTTTTAAAACAATACAGACTAATGATTTTAGGCCAATTTCTTTATGATTATGAAGAACTTTAATTTAAGACTATTTTAGAACAAAACATTTGCTTTCACACAGCTACAGTGAAACTACAAATCCCATCATGCATCTGCCTCTGGGATCATTTAACCTATTGTTAGCAGGGGAGAATTGTAACTCTATTACCGCAGTGCACTGGAAGTGTGTACTATGGATCATTGAACCTTGTACACACTTCCAGTACACTGCAGTAATGGTTACAATTCTCCCTTGCTAACATGAATAGGTTAAATGATCCATAGTACGACTACATGTTATGTACTATGGATCATGATTTAACCTATTCATGTTAGCAGTTGAGACATTTTAACTCTATTGTTGTAGTGTAGTGGAGGTGTGTGCTGTATATATGTACTACATATACAGTACACACTTCCAGTACATTGTAGCAATAGATTTACAGCGCCCTGTCCCAGCTTCCCTCACTTAGTTTCACTCCGATCCCGTCCCAGCTTCCCTCACTTAGTTTCACTCCGATCCCTGTTGCCTCCTGCGGTGCCTCTTGTAGTCGGCGCTGGGCAGGATTCCTGCATCGCGTCTCGGTGCTCCGCTTGTGGGAGGCGCTCACAATTCTGCCCTGCTAACATGAATAGGTTAAATCATAATCCATAGTACATATACAGTACACACGTCCAGTACACTGCAGTCTGCAGCAATATAATTACAATTCTGCCCGGCTAACAGGTCCATAGTAAAACTATATATTGAACTATTATGTACTATGGATCTTTTAATCTATTCATATTAGCACGGGAGAACTGTAAATCTATTGCTGCAGTGTACTGGATGTGTGTAACATAAATGTACTAATGTACTACATATAGAGTACACTGCAGCAATAGATTTACAATTATCCTCAGCTAACATGTCGCTGGCCAGCTAAATTTGGACCCCACTTGGAGCTCCTCCCACCAGACCAGTGCGGACTCGCCGCTGCTCTTCCGGACAGCAGCCACAAGGTAAGGGAAAAATAATAGCGCAAGCTTAGGTGCTATGTATCGGGGCATTTTGACAACTACAAATACCAATGCTAGTACCGGTATCGGGACATCCCTAACACTTGTAATTTCTAAAATGTAATGGACCCTGCTTTATTACATTTGGGGGATTGTCTTGACCTGTCAAACACACTAAGGCCCCATTCACACACGAATCGGCCTGCACGTACAGCTCCGTGCTGCGTGCGGGTCCGTACCAAGTAGCTGCCGTGAAGGACAGGTGCTGCGTGTGATTAGTACGCAGCCCCCGTCCTCCTCTATGGGGCTACGCGGCTGTATGCCCCCTTATGCTCACCTCAACTGCAGGTCTGTAGGGGTGCGGGTTTTCTAGCCGGGACGCATACAGGATCCATTGCGGCGTATGAATAAGCTTACCCGCACCCCTACGGACGTGCAGGGCGGGCTAGCGTAGGGGGACGTGCGGCTGCGTAGCCCCATAGAGAAGGACTGGGGCTGTGTACTAATCACACGCAGCACCTGTCCTTCCCGTCAGCTGCTTGGTACGGCTCCGCACGGAGCTGTACGTGCAGGCCGATTCGCGTGTGAATGGGGCCTTAAATGCAAAGCAACAAACTGTAATGTATATCAAAACATAGGTTATTAAATGATCAATGGTATGTTAAAGGTAACATGGTAAATGCTGAGGAAAGAATGTGAACTTGTATTGCTGAATTGATGGTGTTACAAGCACGTAGCCATTGAATGGTCAGGAAATGCTCCTTTTTTTTGACCTTTTTGTCTTTGTTCTCTAGCTGATGTTAATTTTGCTCTTGAACTGAGTGATCTACGTCACAGACATGGCTTCCATATCATACTTGTACATAAGAATCAAGCCTCTGAAGCGTTGCTTCACCATGCTCATGAACTCATTTGCTTTGAAGAATTTATCTCAGACCTACCACCCAGGTCAACCCTCAAACCACAGGTAAGCTGTTTTCCATTAGTCCACTAGTTCACATGCATAAGTATCTTCTTGCTACATGCCATATGTTGAATGTGGGCAGGGAAGTTTTCTTTTATTTGAAAAATAAATTTTTCTGCATAATCCTTTTATGTATGTTTTGTTGTAGCCCCCAATCTGATCCCATTAATGCCAATGCTTACTAGCGTAATGCTGACATTTAAGTGGATGACAGAATTGGAATCATTAGTGTGACATCTCAATAATTCTTTTATACTGAAAGTGGCCGATTTTTTTTAAATCTTCCACCCAGTCATACGCTGGTCGAATGCAATTTGCACAGCATTCCCAAACCCTGGATGGAGGCAAGGAGCATAGGAATTCCCATGTTCCTAGTTCCCATCTAGTGACTGGAGTGCTGAGCAAATGGCATTCACCAGATGAATGGCTGGGAGGAAGATTTATACATCTGCCCCGTAGTGTACTATATTTATATGAAGCTAGTGAAGACTGTGCCAATGGCTGTGGTATACAGCATTTCATAATGTGTAAGTTTAAATGGAATGTTTACTGGTGCTGTGTGTTTTTAGTATGATCTGTACTAAATTTAAAAAAAAAAAAAAATATATATATCTATAGCTCTCTTTTTATTGGCTATTGAGGGACACAGGAATGTAGTACCGTATTTTTCCATCTATAAGACGCCCCCATGTATAGGACGCCCCCCACTTTTCTTACCCAAAATTCAGAAAATATTTTCCATGCTTTTTTTTGCATACAGTAACTGATTATATCCAGTTTAAATTTTGCAGAGTAAGACAGCTGCTTACTGGTACCGGTATTTTTTTGTTTTCTGACATTTTTATGGGCTCCCTGTTGCATCTGGGCACTGGCTACACGCTCTCCGCAGCATCAGCAGACGTCGGGTACATAAGGCTCATGATTGGAGGAAACCTGTTTAGCTTTTCTCTGCAATCGGAAGTTTCACTCGTGAGGCTAGTTTGCAGAGGTATCGGCAGTTTCGCAACCGTGGTTCTGCTCCCTCCCCGTGTATAAGACGCCCCTCCATTTTTAGGTAAATATTTTTAAGAAAAAGTATAGTCTTATACACGGAAAAATACAGTAATTTTTAGACATTTAGGTTACTGCCACCTTCAGGAGATTTGGACAGTGGCAAACCAAACTGTTAAATCAACACCATATAATCCCACTTCCAACAGTCCTGCCTCAATATTTTTGCTAGTGTTCTAGGAGGTCGGATGCCTTTTTTTCTCAGTATAACTTTAACCTCTTGCCGTCCGCCCGTAGTAAAAAAACGGACGGACGGCACTGCAGCATCTGCGGGTTGCCGTCTCCAGACGGCAATTTTTTACTTATTATTAGATTTATTTCATTTAAATTTAATTTAAAACACTTTTTTTTTAACTTTACTTTGACTGCTATCACATGGGGGGGCTTACAAGCCCCCCCATGTGATAGCAGATGGCGGTGACAGGTACTCTAGTCAAATCCAAATGTACTAAGGGCCATGCCAAGGCATGTGAATAAAATCAGAACATGGACATGGGGGAAAAAAATAGCCCTACTGCTTGCCGTGGGTCCTGGCGTCCTTTTGTGTGAGAACACAAGGCGGGCCTTGTAATTGACAGTATTAAAGTGTAAAGTATAACTTTGCTATTTTTTTTTTTTCCATGAAGATATTCCTTAGATTTTTTTCAGTCAAGATTTTGAGACGCTTCTTGAGCTCCTCTCTATCCAGCAGTTCAGATCAGCATTTTCACAGCATCGGTTTTGGTGGCTGTGTCTTGGCGCTGCTGAACAGAGGATTGCGGGATTAGCCTGGAAAGTGCCCACAGCAGGACCGGAGGCGCTGAAATACGTTTTTATGCCATTTTTAAAATAGTTTGTTTTTTGATCTCTACATCGGGTGCCACTCTTTGCATGTATGTAGCCCAGAATGTGACCTTTGGACACTGGGCTTTGCATTGTGGTGCTTTCCAGACTAGGGCTGAAAAAACGAATCAATGAAGTCGATGATTGATAATGAAAATCTTTGACAATTTTCTTTATCGGTTAGTTGGACTTCTGATTAGTTGGCCTGCTTGCAGCGCCTCCTCACATCTTCCCCGCCTCACACAGCTCGGTGATATCAAGGTGGCGGGGTCGCTGGCAGACACTGCCACACCACTTGTGGACTGCAAGCGCAGGTGTTACAAGCCAACCCAGAGAAGAGGGAGCTGCAAAATTGGAAAACTGGTACCTTTCCCAGAAAGAGGTTTTAATTTGATTTTTTTTTTGAGGCCAGAAGTGAGCACAGGAAAATAAGCAAGTGGGCCCTAAGAAACATTGGACAGGGCACAGGGGTAGAGGAAGAGGGGGTATACTCTTTAACCCACCTACTCAGAAACCCACAAATCAATGACTACCACTTTCTGGTGGAAGGATGAATAGGCGAAATCCTTCTGCAGTAGAGAAAAATTTCCTCAAACATATTTATTCTGGGGATTATCAATCAAGGTTTCCACTTGCAATTCCAGTCTCCCCCTCTCAGATTTCTGGTAACCGATCTGTTAAGGGACCAGATCAGGGGCAGAGCCTTATCAGGTCTATTGGGGGATCTGGTGGACTAGAGGGTAGTTATCAAGGTACCAGAAGAGCAGCAGGGAAAAAGGTTTTATTCCCATGTATTTCTTGTCCAGAGATCCTCAGGAAAGTTCAGATTAATTCTGAACCTGAAGCCTTTAAATATTTCCACTCAGTACAAAAACATTTTAATGGACTTTTTTTCCAGTTAGGAACGCTCTCCAAGCGGGTGCTTTCCTAGCAACGATAGACCTAAGCGATGCCTATTTTCATGTACCCATAAGGTCCACCTCTCATGTTCCTTTGTGTGTCTGGCTGTCAGGGCTGGCTCAGTCATCAATCACTTCCAATTCAGAGCTCTTCCATTCAGCCTTTTATCTCAGCCAAGAGTATTCACCAAGGTGTTAGAAGCCCTGGCCCCTCTGAGACTTCAGCGGGTCAGTATTGTTCCATATCTGGACGATATCTTGGTTATGACTCAAACATCAGACATATTGGTGAGCGATCTTCATTTAACTCAGACCTGGCTGCAGAAATTATAAACAAAGAAAAATCAAATCTTTTGTCCCTCTCGGATAGTGACGTTTTTGGGTTACACGCTGAACACCAAGGAAATGAGTATTTATCTTCCAGCGAGCAAATTTAGTTGGTCTCCACAGCAATTTTCAGTCTACAAGGAAATCGGGTAGTTTCTTAAGATTTTATAATGTTGGTTCTGGGTCTAATAATGTAAACATTCCCAGCAGTTCAGTGGGCAAGATTTCATCAAAAACACTTACATAATTTTCTTCTGAGGGAATGGAATCGTTCTCAGGATTCATTGGAAATTAAAGTAAACCTTCCAAAAAATGTCTCTGGTGGTGGAAGACGCACGGCCAGCTCTTACAAGGCTAATCTGGACTTCCCCTTTTCAAGACAGTTGATGACAGATGTCAGCTCCTGGGGCTGGGGGCCCCATGTCCAGGATCTCTTCATTCAGGGACAGTGGACAAAACGGGAAGCAAGAGCTTTGTCTGGAAGCAACTAAAAGCAATTCTCAATGCCCTTCTCGACTTCCAGAATGTCCCATGGGGATATCACCTTCTAATTCTTTCAGGCAATGTAGCGGCAATAGCCTACATCAACAGACGAAACTACCAGAAGTACATCCCTTCAATTATTGGTAATAGATATTTTTTGGGGCTGAAAAGAATTTGACCAGTAAATACCAGACAGAAAAGATATCTTGTCCCAGGGTCCAGTTCTCCACCCAAAAGCGCAGATCCTGAATTTACCCCCGTAGTTTCTGAGGAAGTCATCCTAAAAGCTAAAGGCATTTCTAACAGGGTTGTTCAGACTTTACTTAATAGCCGTAAGCCAGTGAAAAGAGCTATTTACAGAAAAGTGTGGGAAAGTGTTTTAGTTATGGTCTAGTACTGCTAGAAGGGATTTTTCCATCCCTTCTAAATTGGACTTTTTTACAGGATGGAGCAGACAAGGGTATTGCTATAAGTACACTTAACGTCCAGGTTGCGGCTCTTAAGTGTCTATTTACAAACATCACTTGCAGTGGCGCCACTTATTTCTCGATTCTTTCTAGCAAACTGGTGTCTGTCAAATCCTTTCCTCAATGGGAAATTGTCAATGATCTTTCAAGGATTGCAGAATTCACCCTTTTGAGCCTCTCAAAGAGGTTTGTTATGTCCATTTACTCTCATACAGTTTTTTTGGTAGCGGAGACTTCTGCTAGGAGCATTAGTGAACTGCAAGCTCTATCTTTTCAAGAACCTTTCCCCTCTATATTTGAGGATAGAATCATTCTCGGACTTATCCAGGATTTTTACAGAAGATTTCATCTAACTTTCGTAGGACCCAGGACATTGTTCTTCCGTCCTTTAGTAAGAATCCGTCCAATGATAAAGAAAAGTCCTTCCACTGTCTGGCTCTTCAAAGCTGTTAATTCTTTTTGGGAAGCAACTAAATCCTTTAGGAACGCCAATGCCTTGTTTTGTCTTCGAGTAATACTAAGGGAAAGAAGGCTTCAAAATCTTCCATTGCATGGTGGATAAAATTAGCTATAGCTGAAACATACCAGGCTATAAAAATGACTCTGCCAGCTTTCATTAAAGCACATGCTACAAGATCTACAGCAACCTCATGGGCTGAAAGAGAGCGAGCTATACCTGAGCAGATATGTAAGGCTGCTACCTGGTTTAGCTTTGGAACTTTTATACAGTATTTTACCGCTTGGATCTCTTATCCAGCAAAGACCAACCTTTCGGAAGAGAGGTGTTAACAGGCGTGGTCTTTTCTTATCCTCCTAAGGCGGTCCTGGAAGAAGACTGGGGGAAAACCTGGAGTTAGAACTTATCGATTACAGTTTTTCCAGTAGTCTTCCAGGACCGCGGACTGCCCACCCTAGTGTTTCATTTGATGGTTTTTCTACTCTTTTGGTGGTGTTTTTTTTGGTTTTGTTTTCCAGTTCAGGCCTCGGGTCTCGTGATTACTGAGGGGATATGGTGAAGGCAAGCTTTTATCTGGATTACGGGTGACAGGTTTCCTGTCTAGAGGGGGAGTTGCACTCTGAGCCTGTCCTGGAAGACTCCTGGAAAGTTACCGGTAAGTTCGAACTCTGGTTTTCCACATCTGTTGCCCACTCGTCGTGGACTGGTTTTGGGCTTCTCAAATGCCTTAAAAAAAATTATTACTATTTGTGTCCCTCAATAAATGATCAAGAAATATATTTTTATGGCAAGTACAATTATCTTTTTTGTTTAATTCCATTGAGGGACATATGTCTCTCCCCTCTGTTATTGGACTAATGTACTTTTTTTGGTTACAGAAACTGAGGGATGGAGGTTGGAGGTGGGGTTTTACTGGGACGGGACAGAATGGGGCTCACTAATAGATGTCCGAACCTCCAGTGATCTTAAGACTAAATCAAGTGTCTATTACTTTATTCATGTGTCCCTCAAGTATACTTTTTTTGCATATATGAATTTTCTGTTACTAAGTTTTTTTTCCTGTTCAATGTTCCCTGTTTGCAAGATGATGATACTTGTGAGGTGCTTTCAATGTCATCTCTCTAAACGTTTGTTACTCCAGCAGTGCCATACTTTGTTGTATGTCTACAACTTGCCAACAAACAAAGATGCAAAAAGTATCAACAATCGCCTCAGACGTCTTTCTGATAACTGTGGAGGGAAAGTGATGAGTATTTCTGGCAGCAGTGCCATTCTCCGCTTTATCAATCAAGAAAGTGCAGAGCGGGCACAGAAGCGCATGGAGAGCGAGGATGTGTTTGGTAACCGTATCACTGTTTCATTTGCACCTAAAAATCGCGATGTAACTGAAGTAAAGAACTCAGTCTGCACTATTGGTGACAAATCAAAGTCTCCCAAAAAAGGAAACAAGAACACCAAACTGTGCCTCCTTTCTAAAGATCAGCAAGAATCCTCCCAAAATGCCAAAGGCTCTACCAGCAAGACTGCTCACAGCTCTGGGGGCAAAAACTCAAACGTGAAAAGTTTGCAGGTAAACAACTTTTATTGACACCCAATCCCCTTCCCTAAGGTTAGAAAATTCTCTGCATTTAATGGACATCGTACACTACCAGTTTTTCTGTTCAAACTAAGCAGGTATTTCAGATTACCATATTTCTGTTTGTGCCCACTTTAATTCCTTATCCTTTCAGAGTTGGGTAGGTTGTGAACTGTACAGTAATATAATAGCCTCATCTCCCATGATGCAGTACACATTTACGGTGCTTTTATTTTGTGAACTTAATGCTGTCTTTTAACCTTTTCGCTGCCAAGCCCTGCGTAACGCTTTTACCCTCAGCTGGCCACACCATTTTTTCAATTTGTCATCATTTTTTTTTTTTTTTCAAATGCAGCTTAGTGTTTAAAAAAAAAAAAAGAAAAGAAAAAACCCCTAAACCATATATTTTCTGAAAGCACAGGCCTTGTAGAATAAAAAAAAATGGTCCTAATTTTCCTCAAATATAAAAGACATAATTTGATAAAAGCACACTAAAATCAGTATCGGTGCAGTGCACACAAATACTTTTCACAGACTAAATCTAAAATATTAAACTATATTGAGTTAATAAATACAAATACAAACATTTGTAAATTTTAAATTACGCCTTTTGTGAAACAGTAAAAAAATTAAGTCATGCAAAACCTGTAAATAAGCAACTTAAAAAATCGTTTGTGTGCAGTGTTGTGTGTTGTGATAAAATTATGCAGGCATAGATTTAATTACAACACGGCGTATATACGCACGGCTATGTGTCACAATGCTTTGCCATGCGCTGCCACACAGTTGAAGTTTATTCTATGAAAAGAGAAAAAAAATAGTTATTAGGGGTCCTTTTCAAATGGAGGACTGTGTCCTCCAATCTCTTTCTACAACCCCTATTCCGAAATGAATGGAAAGCTCTCTGTAAATATTTACTTAGTACAGAGGCTTCCCATTCATTAACAAACTGGACAATTAGCCAGTTATGAATGTAAAGAAGCCTCTGTACTGAACTGCTTCTACCCATTCAGGAACTCATGAATGAACAGGAAAGCACTTCCAGTTCATTGATAACTGGGGACATAAAGTACTGTGTGTCCCCAGTTTACCAACATTGAGTGATCAGAGATCACTCCAGTGTTTGTTCTGCACAGGAAGGATCGGTAAATATTACACATTTACGATCCTCCTCTCAGCCACGCGCAGAGCTGCTGTCATCCTGAAACTGGCGGGGTGCTTTTCAGCCGCTGATGACCGCTTTTAATCTCCAGGGCACTGTCGGGGGGGCGGGGCCCTTTTGTTATAAGTTCATGGTTGCTAAAGCAACCATGAGCTTATAGCAGAAGTGTGAAAGCCACAGACGTAAGGCTTACTGATGTGGCCAGCTGCAAGCAGTTGTGTTTTGCTATAAGTCTTACATTGGTGGCTGCAAAAGGGTTAAACAAATGTAGATGATGTGGGTTCATATAAGTGCTTTGGACTAAAATAAAAATAGTGAAGAACCAACTGAGTACTGATTTTTAAAGCCGCAATATTCAAGGCTAGCTTGTTTTATAATGTATTCACTACCTAAAGATTTACTAAGCTGGAGCAAGCATGCAGAAAAGATATTCTGACACTGACCACATTTTTTGGGTCCATGAATGCAAGATGAAAGCCTTGGAACCTGAATCTTCAATGGAAGTTCTCATAGCAATAAAAGAACAGTGAAACATAAGCTGTCAGGATAGAGCTAACAAAGGAGTTCTTTTTAACATGCTATACATTTTTCATACCCTAAATGTAAGCTCAACTTGAGGCAAAATTCTTACACAGATTAAATGAATACAATAATTTCTCAGTTATTCTGTATTCAACTAACCAGAACTCTCATCTAGCCAAAAAAAAGTCCCTGTGTACTGGCTGTTTTGCTTATCTACGGCATGAAATAATCATGTGTCTGTCTTAATGGAGAACTATGAGGCGAGTGATTTACACTCATCCTCCTAGTTAGAGCCGACGGGTGACATTGAAACTGTCACACATCGACTATATAGATTGGGGAGTGAACACATATACTGTCGCTCACCCACTTCCCGATCATCTCCCTGCAGAGAGCTGTGTCTGACAGGCACCGCTCCCCACAGGGAAATATATGTCCTCCCGTGACCCTAAAGAGAACTATGGGATAAAAAGGTTACCCCATAGTTTTTTTTTTTATTTGCTTTCGATTACTGCATTTCAATATTAATATGAAGTCAATACAGTGTATGATATGGTATACGGTAGTATGACATTGGTTAGACCTATTTTTAATAGCAACACTCAAGCAACCAGAAACAGGCAAGGGTCTGTAATTAAGGAAATTCCCAACTTATTTTCACGAATCAACTAATAACTCGAGTTCTTTTTTTTTTGCGGTAACTTGAAGACTAAATAAAAACAATGTGCAAAGATATATATTTTTATTAAGTAAAATCAGTGCAAAATAATGCACAAAATACAACTGGTGACCAATCAGGAAGATGGAT